AAACCATATTAAATATGGTAATCAGTTTTCACACTGATTAGAACAGATACTACACTTGATCTTAGCCAAAAGGCCGAGAAGGTATGGTTACAACCGAAAATCATCGTTTTAATTGCTGAGTTTTGTCCGAAATTATGTTGTAGTTGTATCTTAAATAGGTGCGATTAAGGTTGCATATAAAAAGTATAATGTGTTTTAAGTTCGGGGTTTGTAAAAATGAATATATTGTGGAAACCGTTCAATGTCTGTATAACATGCAACAGGAACTGTTGAATTGGATGTGAGTTTTCGGATAACATGCGTCAAAGTATATTTAGTTAAGGTAATTATACGTATTACTTTACTGATATAGGTGAAATATCGCCTGCACCCCCTCTCTTAGCCGAAAGGACGTTCGTTACGCGCAGCACTCTCGTTTGTCTTGGCATCGAAATGTAGATCGGCTCGATGGGCATTGCATGCATGAGCCTTGGCCTCGGATGGAATAGTATCCATCGGCACATCTACATACGTGTTTCCTCTCAGGTGCTGGGCAATGGCATTGTTGTAGTACCTGTTGGCTGTCGCCGACACACTTCGTGGAGGGCAATAGAAGCCAGCTGCACACCAACCAGTGCATTGCCCGACGGTCAATCCTACTCCGTGATGCACGCAATTACACCGGATAAGCCATAATCCAACGTCAAATGTACCTGGAATGTCGCCGTACGTGCCTTGGGGGCAGTCATACGCAATTCCACCCCGACAAAACTGTCCCACGTTGCACAGCGCTTGCCCCACTCTACATGAAACGTTCATACCAGGCACATCATTCCCAGGTACATCATTCCCAGTGAACTATAAGGGACTTGCCTTGTACTATTGGTTGCGCCAACGCTGTAGTAGCCAGCATCGACCGCCAGTGGAGCACTCGAGCCAACGGGGCAGAACACACTCACATCACCACACATGATTTGGGTTGCTGAGGTGCTAGCCTGAGTGCAGTAGTACCCTTCAATGCCGACGACTTTTAGTGAGGGAAGTTTGGATGATTCATGCATAGGAGATGTCAGGTGACCTGCGGAACACTTGCCAGAACAAAATGGCGTCACAAGCTGGCCGGTGCTGCCGAAGGTGCCAGTCGGACACGGGTTGCGCACCCCATTGACGCAGTAGTACCCTGGCTCACAAGGTTTCTGAAACCAGCGCATGCTTTCCCGGGTCACCGCGTCCGCCCTATCATTGCATCACGACGACAGGACATATGGAACTAGAACTACCTAGTCGTGTCGCTTCCAGAGTAATACCCTGCAAAGACACCAATGGGGGCTACCGAGCCAGTTCGGCACACGACGTTCGAGCCTCCACAAGGTTCCTTCAAGGGGTGACAATGAACTACGATGCACGAATTAAAATATGAGCGCCTTACTTGAGTTGCAGATGTGCTGCTAGCAGGACAGTAGAACCCTCGTCGACATACACCGGTGCACTATGTACGCACGTTCGGTTTACGAACTGTTGTAGAAACAATGGAAGGTACATAATTATTACCAGAGGATTGGTTTCACGGGTGGCAGCCCCATAGCGACCCCCCGGGCAAGGGAATCGTTGGCCGTGGATGCAATAATACCCCGGTTCGCATGAAACTTGGGCGTCATGCCGAGTGGGGTCCGAATCCAGCCCGAGGACGGAATCGATCGAGTAATACCCCAATGTGATGGGAAGGGGGTATGGAGAGCCTTGGGGGCAATATAAATGCGCCCCGCCACACGGTTGCTGCTTTCATAAATCCACCATATTGTGCCATCAATTTCGGGGGTTCGGGGTTTATATAGTACCAACCGCGGTCGCTGAGATGCTACCCACAGGACAATAGTGGCCGCGACGGCATACCCCCGAGCACAACGCGCTGGTTTCTTCCATTTGCGTGCCAAATCTACTCGTAATATTTTTGTAACATTGATGGATTATATTGATATCCAAACCTATAAGTTCATGACAAGAAACAACAGTAGATATATATATACATACATACCTCCCACCAGGACAAGGCAGTCGTTGGCCTCGAACGCAGTACGATCCACGTGAGCACTGGAATTGACTTGCCTTGGTGAACGCTGTGTTGAGTGGCAGCAATGAGGGTGTCTATACATGTAATTTCAATTAATTTGGTTAAGGTTAGTTGATCATATGTACAAGGCTTTTTCTCAAGCTAACAAGACCACCAACCAATGCAATCTACTCACGAGGGTCGCAGCTGGAACGGCAGTGCAGACGGCCCCATCAAACACGAGTTTGTCGGTCGCAGTGTTCCAGCGGATTCCTCCTGACAATCGAAAACACGTGCAAGTCGTTCGATCCGTCGAGCTAAGAATGATGTCAAGAATTGAACAATAGAAACGTCGAGATTTTGAAAAGATGAAGCACCTCGTGGTGGTGTAGAGCGGACAAAGCTGGCAGAGAGAAATGCTGTCGCCTTCGACAAGCTTGAACGTGCCCAGCGGGCAAGGAAGGCAACTAAGTCACCATCAGCGATTCATCTCCGTAACTTGTGATCGAAAACCCAGAGAAATCGTCAAGGGATATGATGAGTGGGTTCTCCATATGATATATATACATACACGGCATATGGAAACAACTCGTCTCCGTAATTCACTTGAATGGCTGTCCAACTTGCCAGCAATATATTGGCATTGGAAGTAGCCGTGGCGCGGTATTGACCGGGGGGGCAAGGGTCTGTAGCCCCAGAGTACTGCGTATATTAATGGAATGTTCAAACGATTCGATCATTTTCGATACCGTGTAATAGCCTGGCGAGACGACGATGGGTTGAGAGGACCCTTGAGGACAATACGCATTCAGGCCGCACTCAAATTGAGTGGGGGATGTGCTTCCAGGAGGACAGTAATATCCTGGTGAACACAAACCCGAGCACGTCAAGGCCGATTCGCCGCTCGACGCGCCATAATAGCCTCCAGGGCAGATGTAGCATTGCCCTTCTAGCGCGTACGAGCCAGGTGGGGCGATGGCCGACGAAGTCTGCGTTAGAATGGTATCTCCGATGCCGCAGAATCCTCTTGAAATGGCTGGCAGAAACAATATCAACAAAACCTCGAAAAGGCCCAAAACGCATTGATATAATATAGTACATTGAGGGGCGGCTGCGCCGTCGGGACACACGAATTTCGAGTGGCCGCAGGCGACGGGGTCGGCACTGCCAACAGGACAATATGATCCACCGGGACACTTTCCACTACAAAGATATCAACATTAGAATGCATCGCGTCCCTTGTCCTGCCGTTGTGGGCACACCTGCAGGCCGACGATGTCAAGCCCACGGAACTTCCAAACGACCCGGCAGGACATGCCGACTTGACTCCCCCCACGCAATACGACCCAGGCTCGCACGGCAGCTGATGCGTTGGGCGTGTGGGCGGCAGAGAGTAGAACCCAAACTCGACTGGTTGCGGCGCAGAGGAGGCCTCTGGGCAGTATGTGGCCGCGTCGAAGCATGCAATCTAACACACTCAAACAATAATGGATGAGTAAGGGTTCCAGTTGCGAAGGAATGCAACGTACGGGTGCGACCGTGCCGACGGGACAGTAATAGCCACCTGGGCACGGACCAGAACAAGCGGACGTGGTCAGTCCTGATGTCGCCCCGAACGATCCCAACGGACAAGCGATAACCTCCCCTAACACCATAAAGTCAGCATGGCGGAACCACGACAATGACGTCGGCAACCTTGGACGCAATACGACCCAGGTGGACACAGCTCAAGGATCGAAGCCAAAGTTGATTCTACGTCGGACGAAAGTACCTAATAAAAAATGAATCAGGGCTAAAAGATGCCACGAATGCGATATGAATGCGATATGTATCTACGTACGGTTGACAGGTACTGCCCTGAAGGAATGCGTGTTGGGGCACTGCAGCCCCTTGGACAGATGTAGTTGGAAGGACATGCAACGGGAGTTGTGGTCCCAGGTGGACAGTAGTAGCCTTCAGGACAAACCCCAGAGCACGCAGAAGTGCTTAATTCGGTCGTGGCCCCATATGTTCCTGCGTAGATAATGTCGATGATGATCGCTCAAAGCAAGTGAAAATGTACCCGCTGGGCATGGTTTGGGCACTATAGATGCCTCCGGACAGTAATGTCCTGCAGGACACACATCGGTACACGCCGCAGAACTCAACCCTACAGAAATTATGTACGGCAATTTATGCAGCACTTGGTATTGAGGTGGCTTACCCATTGATGCTCCAAATATGCCAGCCAAACACACGGCCATATTGCCTTGTACACAAAAAGAGCCCAACTCACACAGCGCAATAGATTGCCTGATTCAACGGAAGTGTGAATAGATTAACTCTGAAATCGCCACGTTAAACAAGGATCACCTTGTGTAGGAGGTGTCCCCAATGCCGTAATAACCCAAGGGCACTTGCTTTGTAGCTCGCGACCCCACGGGGCAGTACACGTTGGCATTCCCACACGGAATCGGTTCAATTCTATTGGTTTTCTAGTTGAGAAAAGCTACGGCGAACATGTACTTACGTGCCAACAGGACAGACGAAGCCCCCCGGGCACAACCCGGAGCAGGACACAGTGGACAATTGAGTGGCGTTGCCATAAACCCCCGCGGGACAGGGAAACACTTGGTTGTGTCTAAGCGAAAGTTGGGACCGTTTCGAATAAGTATGTACAGTACATACTTGCAGTACGACCCTTTGGGGCACGGCGAGTACCCCGGGCACGGCACACCAGGAGTCACAACCATCGCCTGATCTGTGCTGGCTGGACCTTTGTAGTAGCCCAAGAAGGCGCAGCTGTGTGCTGTTCGCAAAAGCATCGCACTCCATAGCAGCACTTGCATGCTCAACAGCAACACGGCAAGTTCATGTACATTGTAACGGCCAAAGGGGCCCGTGGCGGTTACATTAACGCATACTCGAACACCCTGCACAAGAGCTGCTTTGTGCCTTTCCGTAGGCTGACAATGGTTTTGATTGTTAGTTAGTACCTATAGGTGGCTCATGTGTATATGTGACATTTGTATTGATGTACGTCGTAAATCATTACACGTGAAGCTTGAAAGTTGTTTTTCCTTGGATTGTTTCACAGTAAATGTTCATTTTTTCTTCGACCTAGGCATCCCCCGCACCACCCCCAGCGTCCCCCGCGTCGCCGCCACCACCAGCATCGCCGGCATCCCCAGCGGCCGCGGCATCCCCTGCAACGTTACCGCCTGCATCCAGCGTGGCCACAGGGATGGTATCGTCGTCGTCTTTCTTGTGGCGAGCTGTTTTTTTGGCTTTCTTCATGTACGCAAATGCGACAAGGAGGAGGAACGTGATGATCACCCCAATGGAAAAGTAAGTGCACAAAATATCAAACAAGCACCCGTACGGAGGCTTGCCCGGCGCCGTGTTGCGAAACGTGGGCACGGCGAACAGGGCGGAGATGAAAATCACGGGGTTGTCGGCGGGGCGGCGCTTCCAAATCACAGACATACTGCCAATCCAGCCAATGGCAATCGTCACAGCCCAAATGCCGACAAACACAAGGGCCATGTAAATGTTAAAGTCCCGCGTCACTTCAATCGTGAGCGATCTAAGCGTCATGGTTAGAGAGATAGATGCAGTTACGAGTTACGTGTAGCCTTTGGACAAGTCGGACACGGTGCCGACGCCAGGCACGAACGCCCCAAAGTCGTCGGGCTTGGTATCGCGAACGGTGTACGTCCACGTGTAGTCGCTCGGTGTGAGGACGACAAAATCGAGGTCTTGAATGGGTTTAAACCCTCCCGCATTGTACTGAGAAGTGCCCGTGACCGTTTGTACTTCCAACTTCATCAAGTACCTTCCATCCAAAAAAGTGCAATTAGGTACTTCTTCAAGCACGTTCTACGTTAATCAACAAATGGACTTACTTGTCAAACGGGTACCAGGCCAACGAGCCTGTGAGCAGCGGCACTTTGGATGTGACGGGAGCGTTCACATACGTCGTGTTTTCGTTGATGGCTAGCACATTCGACCCGACCTGTAGTCGAAAAGGCGTGACAATCTAACATCATAGGCTCCAGAAGTCAGCATCGCTCATTCACGAGGGTAGGTAGATTAGGTGCAGCTAATAGGACAGTTGATGTACGTAAGGACTAGATGTTATAGGGAGGCTACTAACACGAGTGCTATCGTTATTGAGAACGCTAGCAGGCACTTGGTTGAGGACTGCTGAGACGGTGACCTCTGCAAAAACTCAGTTAGAGCTGGCATACAAGCTCCAATGCGCTTACCATACGTTTCAGTGCTCATGCCTGAAATAGAGACCAGCATGTTCACTTTGCCAGTATTGGATGGGTTCGACACGGTTGTGGTGCCATTCTGGTTAATTCGAAGGGCTACCGTCAGTGGCATGACATCAGTGACTAATATCCTAATCTGATGCTAATCTTACCTTGGATATGTTCATTGTTGTGTACAAACGGGATCACCACGCAAAGAAACAGCGTGGCAAACGCGACTAGCACAATGCCCTGGAGAAGCCATTGCTTGTGGAAGTGATATCGTCGACGCCTCGATGATGGCGAGTTGGGGCCGCTTTCGAGAAGGCGTTGGTCAGTACCCTTGGGGCGGGGTGTCGTCACTTCGACAAAATGCACATGAGCGTCTTGAATTGCCATCGCGAGCGATGCCACCGGTAGATGGAAACTGGTGAAGTGAAGTGACAAAACAGTCGGAGTCAAGACGCGATGCACGAAATTGTGCGCATCCCCCCTGGCTCCAAAAACGATCGAAACGTTTTTTCGATATCTCACTTCGGGGCATCGGGGTTACTGGGGACTGAAATTCATGTGGGGAAGCAATCCAAGTCTATTGTGGTCGATTCAACCTTGATATCCCATGCTCACTGTACTACTACGTGGTCTAGATGGGAATTATGTATCGTTAGTCCCTTGGCGATTGTGATGTAAAGCTGAGGTATACCGGTACTGTAGCTTGTCAGCTCAATAGGAGTAACTTTACTGCAGTAATTTTACGGTGTACAGTACACCTCTTAAGGAAAGTGATTGATGACATGACGCAGCCATTCAAAATAAATGTGGCAAGGGCACCAGGTGAGATAAACGGATGTCGACAGCGAACTTCCTTGATGCCAGTGTGAGATAGCATTCCTTTGTATGATGTGTGTCTACCAACACAGTTTACATCTACTGGGCGTAACATTTTAGCAAGAAAAAGTATCGTCAGCTGTGAGATTCGAACTCACGCGGGTTGCCCCATTAACTTAGCAGGCTAACGCCTTAACCACTCGGCCAAGCTGACGTCTGTTTTGTTCTGGTGTTTTGTAAGATTAATGCTACCTCTGTCCTGAAAAGTTCGCTACAATGGCGAATCTTGAAGTTCCACAACGGTTGCTACAAGTGTACCACTGTGTATCCATTGCGTCGATTAAATGTATTAAATACAAATTAAGTGATATTATTTTAAATATTAGGATTTGAAAAATGTCAATGGCATCATCGTCGAAAACGTCTTGCACATCAAGACCCTTCAGCTGCGTATGAAACTCACTGTCAATGTGGACCTTGATGCGTGACGACACGTTGGAACATGGGCTGAGCTTGTCGTTGAGATTGACGGCGGCACGTTTCCAAATAAGGCGCACGGTGGTTCGTTCATGACGGTGCTTCTTGCCACGCCGAAGTTGGCCGCCACGGCAGCAAATGCACCATGCGGGGAGTGTTGATTGGTCATTGCCCAGAGTAAGAAGGTGCTGCAAGACAGCAGTCCGGTCCGAGTTGGACAAATTCTTGGCGTGTGGGCTGACATTCTTAGATACTTGTTCGGATAAACGAAGTATTATCCGGGAATCGGTTATCCGGATACGCTTGCGCCGAATATCATATAGGATAAACTATGGCATCTGTATTTACTGAATTTCTCTCTTTGATTGGTTCATTTTTGGCTCCAAGCATCTTGATTGGTATACTCTGAAACCTCCTCTTCACATACATTTCGTTCGTTTTAGATAATTCGACCGGTATCACGTTCATTTTTCAAAATATCTGATTGTAGCGAACATTTCAGGACAGAGGTAATAACTTTTGTATTTACTGATAGGGCAGAAACTCAATCGACTTCAGCACAGTTATTATACTTCAACACTAGAGTACACCGAAGTATGTAGTAAGAGAACACGGCTTATTCACACTAACGTGAAGATTTGGTTGTTTCTGATATTGGTTCATTAAAGTTCGAAATAAGCAAAACTATTAATAGCAATACTTCGACGCTTTCATTGGATAGAGTACTGCTGTACTGCACCCGCTGAAGATCGCGCGAAACACCCACGATATTCCCTCGTTTCAACGACAACAGGACGAAATCATTGGGAGTATGGCTTCAAAATACTTGGCTATACAGACACAAGTATACTGACGCCCTGCCAATGGTATGAAACGACATATTCCATGGCGTGTGCATTTTTGTATAGCCTTCCGCCGAGCCACCAACATGCAGCGCGGCTCCTCTTCGTTGGACGCGGATCGTCCGACGACCGAATACAAGTCCCAGGAATCCAACCAGGCGACCAAATTGGATATGGTCGACGTTGCTGTGGCGGACGTGCCGCCCCCTCCCGCTGCCACGACCTCGTCCAGCGTACGCTGCCCTTCCCTCTTATATCATCATTGACCGAGCAAATTTACAGAAGAAGAAGTGGCTGATTGCGGGTGCGATAAGCGTGGTGGTGCTGGCCGGAGCTGGGGCTGCCACGGCCATCGTCCTAGTGAAGAAGAGCAATTCGTCCACATCATCGTCGTCGGACGCTGCCAAAGGCTCTACGTCGTCGACAGCAGCCCCAACGATCCCCCCTGTGGACGACGGGGATCTCCTCGGTCCCTCCGGCAACTCGACGGGGTCCAGTGGCAGCCAAACCTCCGTGCCTTCGAACCCGAAATCGGACCCCGAAGCTGCGACGGCGGCGTTGACGATGCTGGCGATTGGAGACTGGGGCAGTACCACCGGCAAAGAGTTTGGCGTGCCTGGGTCGTGCTGCAAGTTGTACAAGCCGAGCAATCTGATCGATACGAGCAACCCTCGTTACAAGGTCGACTTTTGGTCTCAACGATATGTAGCCACCCTTCTTGGTCAATCCGCAGCTGAGCTTAAGCCGTCCCGCATCATTGGGCATGGCGACAACATGTACTGGAATGGCGTCGGGTCGTTGGATTGGAAGTACCGGTTCGAAGAAACGTTTGAAAAGGTTTATGATGCGCCGTCACTGCAAGGGATCAAGTGGGTCAACGTCGCTGGGAACCACGACATTGGCGGGTCCACCTTCATTTGCGGCGAACAGGACAACCAGTTCGTCGAGTGCGCTAGCACGGCGGAAATGCTTAAGTACCTCAACGAACGATTCGACCTTCAAGCCCAGTATGTCAGTCCAAACCAGAACCGGTACGGCGACGACTCAAGCGATAGTTATACATTGCCTTCGTAGTCGTTCTCCCCCTTCTACTAGTCAATTCTTCATGCCAGCTAACAAGCGATTGCTATTATGTTATGGTTAATTGTAGCTGGCTCATGAAAGGCCATTACTACGTTGAACGCGTGACCAAGAACGACGTGACCGTGGACATTTTCAACTTGGACACCAACTACGCCGACAGCCATGGGGGCCGTCAAGTGTGCTGCCAGTGCTACGGGTATTCGCAAAAGTACGGTTACGATAGCTCCAAGTGTAACGACGTTGTGGCCGGGGACGCAGCTTGTGCTGGTACATAACATACCAATCACCCACGCTCTTGGTTGGTGGTTCGACTGAACACTCCATGTTGTCTTGTACTAGGTGGCAATGTGGATATGTTTAATGCCTGCATGGACCAGATCGATGCGTGGGCAGTGGACTCGTACATGCAAGCGGCGCGTGACATGAAAGCATCCACGGCGGACTTCAAGATCATCAACACGCACTACTCGCCGCATTTTCACATGACCCCCGACAAGATGAAAAAGTGGTACAAGCTGACCAAGGACACGAACGTTGCGGTGTGGTTCAACGGCCACACGCACGGCTTCAACCACGACATTGCCAACTGGGGCACCCGTACGTTGGTACATCGTCCCGTATTGCTCGATCCTGACAGTACTGCGATATGTGGGGTAGATTTCATTGAAAACGGGGGCGGCGGGGGGATCGTCACTGAGACGTCGACCGGGGCCCAGAACGAGTTTTTGAAAAGCCAGTGGATTGCTGCGGGCAATCCGTACGGGTTTATGGAGCTGAGTTTCTCGAAAGATTGGCTCAAAGTGCAGTTTGCCACGTTTGACACGGCGTGGCAGTTTGGGGGCGTCAACTACGCCGACACGGTGCAGGGGGGTGTCAACAGAGGCCACTGCTGGTACATACCCAGCGCTTCATATACGGCGTTGGGGGCGCTGGGCGTGCCATGCAATGATTCTGTCGACGGCGTCATCGGGGCCCCCATTCGTTAAGACTCACCTTGGTGCATAATGTACATTGATCAATATATCTTGGACATCGCATATCGTTGTGCAATGTGGTCATAATGGGCACAAGTGAGTCATTCTAAGCATGGCACAGTCATTTGACATGTCGAACTTGCGCTGAAGTTGTTTTATAGTACAGTACCAGTAAACGATGAGTTTGGAAACTTCCTCGGGTTCTCGTTTTCAAAGTGTGCATTAGGAACAAGGTGTGTATTAGGAACGAATAGTCAGTGGGATGTTGTGTGAATCATACACTGATGGACGCTGGGTTCAAAATTCACTCATCATGTTGTGGCAGTGTCAGAAAGAAAGTCTAATTCCCCCACATCAGGGGTAAACCCCTGCTAGAGACCCAAAATACCCCTACGCGTGGGAATTCCTTCGATAAGACGACAGCACATATACAAAACCTACTGTAACCTTGTAATTTGGGGTTGCGTCCTACCCCAAGTGGTTACATTGTTCAAAGTACAGTATGTTGTTATTCACAGGGTTAAGTGCATCAATCACCCCTTAGTAGCTGACACGGGTGGCGGTGTTTTCGCAATGGTAATCCTTATGACTGTACTTATTTGTGCAAGCGTTGTGCATTTTGATTGGCTGTTGCAGGTATCTAAAAATTCAATGACAAGTATAATTTGGGTGGTTCTACCTCTGGTGTGGGGGAATTAGCACGACGTTTTACGGTGGCGACTTCGTACAGTGCACTCCGAGTGTATATTGAACTTCAATCACACAGGATGTGCAGGTTTTGGCCAAAGACTACACAAGGATTACAGTACAGTATCGACTGTCCACGAGTAGAAAAGCTGCAGCTGAGGTGAAATAGCACGGTGTGCTTGTTTTCCCCCAGAAGATCCAAAATATGTGACTGCGGGAATAGCAACAATTCCACGGCCACTGATTCCATCGCTCAAGTACTGTATAGTGTACAGTACTTTGGGTTGTCAATGATGTGATTTTATTATCCGCGCAAGTGGTTTCCGCTCACTTTTAGCCTTAACATTTGTATGGTGGCCTCAATTTTTTTGAAAATGGCATGCCAGCCACCACCACCTGGTCGTTTGAATTATGGTAATCATGTGTTAACGACTTTCACCAGACCACACACAGCTTGCAGTCAGTTGCGAAAATGAGTTCGTCTGCGCCCGTCGATCCTGCGTCTGTCCAAGTCAGTTTACTGCCTCTTTATTCTCATGACTGACCATCGAATGCAGGTGCCTGTGAGCTCCGAAGGCGCGTCCTTGTTGCACGGAGGCGCTGCCCCCGCTGCTACTGCTGCCAAGGTGCGACTTAGCATCCTCAAAACCTTAACTAAAACCAACCGCACCTATTCTAGAACACCAAGTTGATTGCCCTCGGCGTGGCGGCCGTGGCGGCTGTCGGCACCGGCATTTACTTCCTCGTTAGCCCTTTGGCCAACTTGAACGTCGCGCCTGCCAACGTTGAAGGAGGCGATAACACGACCAGCACAACGTTGTTGCCCTTGACCGCGGTTGCCACCTCTGTTATCCCTGCAACCACCACCGCCACCACACCCACGGTTGTGGCAACTACCACGGGCCCTGTCACAGATCCCGAAGCCATGGTCCCAGCATTGACCTTCCTCGCCATCGGGGATTGGGGCAGTACTGTCGGCAAGGAATGGGGCGAAGCTGGTTCGTGCTGCCGTCTCTACAAGAACGGTACGCTCCTCCAATCCATTCATCCATCTTGCTCGAGGATAGCGAACGCTTCAAAGTCTTGGCTACGATGGCTATTGGAATTCACCATGTCTCATGGAAATGAATGTTGATCAGGCCAAGTCGACACGTCCACGCCTCGTTATCAAGTCGACTACTACGCTCAAAAGTACGTGGCGACGTTGATGGCACAATCTGCGACAGAGCTCAAGCCCGTGCGGATCTTGGGCCACGGCGACAACTTTTACTGGAACGGCGTCGGGCCGTGGGATGTCAACTACCGGTTTGCCGAAACGTTTGAGAAAATGTATGCCGACCCCGCCCTTCAAGGTACAGTGCACTTGCACTTGGACTTCTTAACGAGCTTTCATCGTTTGTGATTGATGATACATAGGCATCAAGTGGCTCAATGTCGCCGGCAACCACGACATTGGCGGATCGGCGTTCATTTGCGGACCCCAAGACAAACAATTCCGCGAGTGTGCGTCCGTCGACGAAATGATTAAAGATCTCCGCAGCCATTTTGACTTGCAAGCCAACTATAAGAGCCCTAACCAAGACCGGTACGATCTCACTAACGAACATTATACTTACTTATACATGATATTGGGTGTTCAACTCCAAATTTCCTTTTACAATCACCTGCACTGCGAAATGTCATATAAAAAACTAAGTCTACGAGGTATCTTTGTGACGACATGACAACATTCAATCGTTTTAGCCAATCATATTGCAACCTTTATTCTTTTTAGCCAATCATACTCCGTTGCTCGAGTTGTCAACAATCCACCAAAAGTGGCAAATTTAACTGAATCGCACAATATTGCCCTCTTCGGTCAAACTGTGTAGTCTATCTTGATCAATTTTGTCTTGGGTACGATAATTGAAGGCTAATACTGTATGCAGTATAATAATACTGCTGTTTTACGTCATAAACTATTCTACAAGCAAGCTGATTGGCTACATCATCATTGTCCTTCCTCTTGTCTAAACCCTTCCGACGAGGAGATGGAGAGTAGTCCCATGGTGGATTGTCTGATGTGGTGGATGTTGTAGGTGGGTATTGAAGCACTACTTTGTCGAACGCGTGTCCAAGAACGGGGTATCCGTGGACGTGTTCAACTTGGACACGAACCACGCCGACGCGCACGGCGCCATGCAGGTGTGCTGCCAGTGCTACGGGTACGCCGCCAAGCTAGGTGTGGACAACGTCATCTGTCGGAACACGAATGTGGGAGACGCCACGTGTGCCGGCGGCAGCGTCGAGATGTTCAACACGTGCATGGCCGAGATCGAATCGTGGGCCACGGACTCGTACACGCAAGCTGCGCGCGACATCAAGGCGTCCACCGCCGACTTCAAGATCATCAACACACACTACTCGCCCCACCACCACATGAACCCCATGCGCATGAAGAAGTGGTACGACCTGACCAAGGACACGGGCGTCCACGTCTGGTTCAATGGACACACGCACGGGTTTGGACACGACATCTCGACGTGGGGCACGTACGTTACAATGTTCGAAAATGAGCACATGGTGATTGGTTGAAATGTGGAAACACCTTTGATTGGTAGATATTCCTCCGAAATGTTTCTTGTTTTTGACGATTTGTAGCCACTACATACAGTATTTGGTGGGGATTTATGACGCTACATGTGTAGCCACTTTATCGAAAACGGCGGCGGCGGCGGCATCCGCACCGATTCAGACTCGGCGACCGACAACGGCTTTGTCAAAACGTACGTCAATATATATATATATATATACCAACATCACGATACACGACAAGCTAGTATCTTGTGGCGATGACAAACTTGATTATGGATTGTGTATATGTAGACAATGGGTGGCTGGCGGCACTCCATATGGGTTTATGGAGCTGAGCTTCTCCAAGGATTGGCTCAAAGTGCAGTTTGCCACGTTCGACAAGGCATGGAAGTTTGGCGGATTGAAGTACCCCGACACTGTCACAGGCGGCATCCAGCGAGGCCACTGCTGGTACGTCCCATCTGGCAACGCCACGGGCCCAGGCAAGGAGTGCAAGTCATCTATCAACTATGCCATCGGCGCACCCCTGCGTTAAGGCCATTTTCAATAAACCAAACAAACGTTCGAAGTTGGATGTACTATTAATAGTAGTTAGTACATACACTCACTCTAGTAGACCACGTTGAAAACAAAACAGACGTTAACGACGTCCATGCGTTGAAGACATAACCCATACTGAAGTACTTCGAAGTAGTATGTATATAAACACAAAACAGACGTTAACGTCGTGTGTAGTAGTACTACTTGGGTTTAGTCGTCGTGTTTTGATTCGGCGTGGTCATCTTTGGCTGGTACTTCGACTTCACTGTTCACAACGTCCTGGACAACTTCCTCTACAGGAGGAGCATCACCGTTGACTTGGCTGGAGTCACCCACAGAGTCCTCCTCTGTCGCATGTTCCTTCGCTTCTTCAACGTCATTAGCTGCTTCTGCAACAAGTTCCCCCTCTGTCGCAACTTTCTTCACTTGTTCAATGTCGCTGGCTCCTGCAACAAGTTCCCCCTCTGTCGCATCTTTCTTCGCTTCTTCAACGTCGCCGGCTGCTTCTGCAACAGCCTCCTCCTCTGTCGCATATTTCTTCGCTTCGTCAACGTCGCCGGCTCCTGCAACAAGTTCCCCCTCTGTCGCATCTTTCTTCGCTTCTTCAACGTCGCCGGCTCCTGCAACAAGTTCCCCCTCTGTCGCATCTTTCTTCACTTGTTCAACGTCGTTAGCTACTTCTGGAACAGCCTCCCCCTCTGTCGCATCTTTCTTCCCTTCCTCAACGTCGTCGGGTACTTCTGCAACAGCCTCCCCCTCTGTCGCATCTTTCTTCCCTTCCTCAACGTCGTTGGGTACTTCTGCAACAGCCTCCCCCTCTGTCGCATATTTCTTCACTTGTTCAACGTCGTCGGCTTCTTTTGCAACGAGTCCCCCCTCTGTCGCATCTTTCTTCGCTTCTTCAACGTCGTTAGCTGCTTCTGCAACAG